GCAAAGAAGATTGTCCGAAGTCTGAACAGGAAAAGGGTGTTAGCAGAGACAGAGTTTCGGTGAACCAGTTCACTTCCATCTTGGTTTTAACAAACTGGCAGGAAAAGGTCTGAATGGCAGGGAGAAGGGTGTATAACATTATCATGGGCTTTACTATTGTCTGGTCTAACTTTCAGTGAATTTCACTATTCTGTGTTCTTTAAATTCATTTATAATCTAATTCTGTACTTCACATTCTAGCATCTTGATCCATTATATGTTAGTCATTGCCCATGCCTGGCTTTAATACAGAAACTATTAGTATTTTTACAAAGCACGTAATCAGCCCATAAGTTCCCTTTCTCTCTCACCAAGGCCAAGTGTTAAGATTTCTCTTTCTCTCTTGTGACTCAGAGATGTTAAAATAAAGGAAAACATGTGTTTTGGAACCAATGACATATGATATTGTTTTATTCTACAAAATAAAAGCTTTAATGTTACTGGGTATTTGGTATTAATCTGCTTGTTCAGAATTAAGATAAATTTTAAGTAAACTATGACTCATCTACTTGATAAAATATTCTGTAGCTTTCAAGAATAACAGAAAGATCCCTCCTATGTTAAATAATTGTGTCATTGTAACTTTGTTTAAGCAACTACCTTTCATAGGGAAAAGACAAACAAAACAGAAGTATGGCAAGATAGTAGTAATGATTGTATTTTGGATGGTAGGCCTTACTAGAAAAAACATTTTATTTTCCAATTTTTATTTAATTCATGTGTTACTTATTAAGTATGTATAAGTGACAGTGGGATTGTTTGTAACACTTAAGAAAAAAATGCTTAGAATTAAGTCCTGCTATACTAATTTTTTTGTAGTTCTAGATTGTTAGATAAAGGAAATCTCAAACATTTTATTGACTTTTAAATGTCTCAATGATATGCTTGGGGGAATGATGGAAAAGGATGATTGGATGAGTGAATGAACCAGATTCAAGACTCTGAATTGTAGTAGCCAAATATACTACCTCTTTATATTGCAAACTAGAAGGAAGTTTACTGAACACTGGTGGTGCTCATCCTTCAGTCATACTTACATTTTTTAGAAATACCTTAGTGACAGTGATGAGGAAAGCTGGAGATAGTGTGGGGAGGATATGGACTAACAAATCTATATCTATACTAATAAAGGGTAAAGTGCTAATTAGACCTGATAGACTGATGTCCTTCTGGATAAAGCCATGGTGACGGGGTCGAGCAGAAGCGATTGGGGAGAGCAGTAAGGGGTGATCAGGCAGGCAGGTGAGCGGATAGGACCAGTGGTCCTATATGGATTGCAAGAGGGATGTCTAGCAGACAGACATCTCCTGAAAGGTTCTGGATTGGAGAGGGTATAGGCCAAGCTGAGGGGACCCCCCACTCCCACCCCTGTGCACAAATTTCGTGCGCCGGGCCTCTAGTCTGTGTGTGTGTGTGTGTGTGTGTGTGTGTGTGTGTGTGTGTGTGTGTAAGTGTAAAAGCCTAAGTGACTGTTATGACCAGATGATGGCCAGTAGCTATGATGCACACTGGCCACCAGGGGGCAGACACTCAATGCAGGAGCTGCCCCCTGGTAGTCAGTGCACTCCCACAGCCAACCTCCCGTGGTCCCTCCTCCTGGCCAGCAGTCCCTGATCACTGGCTAGGCTGAGGAATCTTACCTATGCATGAATTCATGCACCAGGCCTCTGGTTTCTTTTAATAAGAATCTAGAAAGAACTTGGAGCCTGGGAAAATAAGATGAACATTATAAGATGCAATTGAATAGCAATTAATCTGATGGCCCTACATATATACTTAGGAAATCAGTAGCTGAAGTTTAGGATAATAAATTAGAAAAAATTTTGTTTTATTTATAATGTGATGTTGCTGCTAAACGTAATTAATAATTAATGTGAAATAGGGACTGCTTGCTTCATGTGTCCCCAAGGATAGAACCAGAACCAGTAAATAGTGACTTTTTCAGCATTTAAACAGGAATGGATTGATCAGTAAGATCTTGAGTTGCTTTTCATTAGAGAAGTTCAGTTGCAGGTAGAGTATACACAAATAAGGATTCAACCACAGAATGGGTGGTTGAATTAGATGGCATTCAAAGTCCTTTTCAAAAACGGTTTCTGTGGCTTTTCAGACACTTTAGTAATGATTTTAAAATACCTCTTTGTGAAGTGGTAGTTGTTTTGGTAACCAACAGGTTACATAGTATGACAAAGATGGTATAAGTAACTACACCAATTCATTAAATTGGAATGTTACACGAAAGTTGCATATAGACATTATAAGTGATATATAGTTGTATAAGGAAGGCATTGTTCTTCCTTTAATGGGGGTTTTCATTGAGATTCATAAATAACAAATATCTTGAATAAAAGTAAATCTAGTAAGACATAAACAAGAAGTATGAGAATTAAAAGGAGAGAATCATTTATCAAGAGTATCAGGTAAAAGTTTTATATAGAAAATAGATCTTAAAGGGTTAGTAGAATTTCAGAAATTGAAGATATGAGTGAAAGTTGGGTACCGTGACAAAGGAAGACAACAATAAGAAGTTTGCCAAAAGTGGGAAAGCACCGGTTTGTTTGGAGCAGTGTATGTATGAGAATAAAAAGGCCAGAATTGTAAATTGAAGATGACTTTAGTGTCACCATGAGGATTTTTGTTAAACAAAAGAAACAGTTGAGTTTTTTGCATGATCATTTACTCTTTAGTAACATTGATATACTTGATTTATATTGGTTGAAATGTTGAATGTAGAAAAATTGGATAGAAAGCTATTCAAGTGAGAAGTAGTGAGGCCTCTGATGATAATAGTGGTTGATGTTTATTGAGGGCTTTCTATATAATCATAGGCACCTTACATTATTTTGGCAAAGCCTCATAACAATGATATGTAGTAGATATTTTTCCCTATTAGCACCTGCTGGTTTCCAGTAGGTTTATGGGTATTCCATACATAATAATGTATTAATTTATTTCTTCAGGCATATTCTCTCACATATACTCACGATCTCCAAATCAATAGACAGCGTATTTTCTTAATTTAGCATTTTATGATATGCTATCATAATCAATAATAACAAAGTGCCACATTTGGCATTGTGAATTGTGATTTTATTTAGAAGTAAAAGATGTAGTAGTCTCTGACCCCCAAGGACCTTTACAATTTAATTAACACAAAATATAAATACATGAAAAGCTAAATAGCAATAAAAATAAAAATTAACAAGTTAAATCATTGAGCATTCCCTCAATTAGAGCTCTTTTGTATCTTCCCAAGTAGGCAGCAAATTCATTAAAGACTTTTCTATTTTATCCCAAGTAGCACAGTGCCTAACTTATGATAGGCTAAGTAAATGTTTGTTGAATTGTAAATAGTGTGTCTTTTTCTAATGTAGTGTTCCTTTCATCTATTAAAATTTATGAAACCATAACTAAGATTCTAAAAATAAACATCTGATAGAAGTGGATGAGTCAGGAGAGGAAACAGTGAAGCCTCAGGCAGAGTAGGAGGAAAATGTGGTGTCACTGAAGCCAAAAGAAAGTGTTTAAAAAAGGAAAGAGTAGTCAACATTGTCAGTCACAACATGGAGGTCATTGACATCAGCAAAAATGATGTTCCGGGTAGAAGTCAGATTAGAATGGAAGGTGAGAAATTAGAGATAGCGAATATAGACAGTACTTCTTTGGAAAGTTTAGCCATGAAAGGATAGGAAAGAGAACAGTCACTAAAAAAGGGATGTCAGGTCCAAGGAGAGGTTCTTGTTGCTGTTTGCTTTTTTAGTGGAAGAGTTGTAAAAAGCATATGCTGTTGAGCCAATAGAGCAGGAACAGTTGAAAGCACAGACAAGAAAAGGGATAAACAAAGGAGTAAGCTTTCTAAGAAAACAAGAAAGGATAATATTTAACACATATAGGTGAGAGATTGGCTTTAGATAGATGGCTTGGTAGAGAGAAGTTCTGGAGGAATTCTTGTCTGGAGGCAGTGTTCTATGAAAAGAAGGATATGAGGTTATCTGCTGAGAAAGAAAGGAGATAGAGAAGTTGACAATTTATAAACAAGGGAAGATATTTAAATAATCTCCATGGAGTGGAGGCCATGGCTAGCTGGAAACAGGAATCTATTCTACAATTGAAAACTTCGTAGCCTTGAGCAGAGGCCATTGCCCGCCAGGGCAACGGGGAAGCTTGGCTTTCTCTATTGCCAGGGCAACCCAAGCCTCCTGCTTGCTCTAGCTCCGTGGCATACTCGCTCCTGATTGGCTGGTAGGCATGTCTTGTGGGTATAGCAGATAGTTAATTTGCATGTTTCTCTTTTATTAGTGTAGACTGTTAGAATCTCTGTTAATCCTCAATGAATGGAAACTATTTTTGAGGCCTTAAGTTCATCATCTGATACTACCCACCTCACTAAGTTCTTTCCTTCATAGCAGTTATATTTTGAAATACATTTAAACCTGATTACACTAGATGGTAAGCTCTGTACAATCAGAAGCCATGTCTGATTTCGCTCACCATTGTTCCCTGTATACAGTGCTTACCATACAATAGGACTATGATAAATGAAATGAATTTTTAATAGCTAATACATTCCTTGTGATAATGGCCGATGCCTTCAAAGTAGTGATGCTTTCTTTGAAGAATTAAAATACATGTCATGTGATATGTGTAAAAAAGTCAGTATTTGAACTCATCAGTTTCATTTGGCCACCTCTTGATGTTATGCTGATTGAACTTCTTAGAAATAGAGCACTGTATATTTCATTACATTTAGCATTATTGCTTGTTTTCAGCTTGACTAATCGTGGTTTGAATTACTGTCAAACTGTGTGCAGGATTTCAAGTTTTTGGTTACTTCACTTTGCAAGAAATGCAAATATTCCACAAAATTCTTAGAGCTTTAAGAAAGTAAAAATATCAAGCACCTTCCCTCCTTCAGTCTACCATCCACATACATACTATTTTTTTTTGGCTTCTTTTATAAGGGAGAAGATGTCAACCGGACGCTAGAAGGTGGAAGGAAACCTCTTCACTATGCGGCAGATTGTGGGCAGCTTGAAATCCTGGAATTTCTGCTGCTGAAAGGAGCTGATATTAATGTATGTAAAGAACATTGTCATTCTAGAAAAAAAAAATTTTCTGCTGTAATTATTTTATATAGATGTGTAAAATAGTTCTTGTGGAAACCTCATTTTAAATTATGCCATAATTTCTGTAACTTAGAAATGTATAGTTGGGATTTTAAACAAGCAAACAAACTGACTTTCAAGCTGGGATCAGGATGTTTCCCCTTGGCTGCTGCTTTTCAGGTTCTAAAGCAACTTGAGAGTTGCGCTACCTATAAGTAGCAAATGCTATCTGCCAGTGGACCATGGAACCACCTGCAGTCATGGTAAATATGGTGCATTTTTATTTAAAAAAAACAAAAACATTTTATTGATCTTTTACAGAGAGGAAGGGTGAGGGATAGAGTTTAGAAACATCGATGAGATAGAAACATTGATCAGCTGCCTCCTGCACACCTCCTACTGGGGATGTGCTCTCAACCAAGGTACGTGCCCTTGACCGGAATTGAACCTGGGACCTTTCAGTCACAGACTGACGCTCTACCCACTGAGCCAAACCAGTTTTCGGCAATATGGTGTATTTTTTGACAGAGGTCAGTGAGCAAGTAGTCAGACAGAAGCAGCCATCTCCTGACTCTTTTGTGGCTTCTGCATTTCAGAGTTTTAGAAAAATATTTAAGTAACCATGACAGCAAGTGAGATGAACTTCTCACATTTCAGGGTACACTAAGTCACTTGGCTGAGCTGTGGCAAACTTTTCATTGGCTATGTTCTTCCCTTCAGCACCTCAATGGTATTTCTATATTAGTGGGGAGTAAGGCTCAGAGAGATTATAATTAGTCACACAGTAAGTGGCAAAGCCAAGATTTGAGCTGGGGTTAAAGCCCTGTTCCCTCTACTTTGGTGACTGCTGCTCTAGAGGCCCAAGCCCACAAGCAAGGTTTCTCTTTGCGAGTCAGCAACCTTTCAGACCTCACAGACCACCAGTGGTCTGCGGAGGCGACTGCTGCTCTAGAGAGCAGCTCTCCAGAGACTAGAAATGTGTACTTAGAAAGTGATTTTGGATAGAAAGGCAAATAGGTAAACATTGACTTGAAAATAATCATCAGTGTTTCCTAATTCCATCTAGAAAGAAAAAATGGATAAGGTGGTTTTATCTCTATTATTTCACAGGCTCCAGATAAACATCATATTACTCCTCTTCTGTCTGCTGTCTATGAAGGGCACGTTTCCTGTGTGAAATTGCTTCTGTCGAAGGTGAGGTCAATTACTACTTTTTATTGCCTTTTCCACTGCTGTGTGACTGTTTCAGCTAAGTATTTGGCTAATTTATTTGTTTGGCCTCAGGGACAGAAATCTAGTAGTATCTAAAATTGAGGTCTAGAATATTATAACCCAAAATAGCTGGTCCACAAACTATTACTAGTTGGTAATGGGTAAGAACCTTGGGCTAGAATATAAAACAACACAATCTTCATAATTAAGAATAGTTGCTGTGAATGGCTCTGGCACGGTAGCTCAGTTGCAAACTGTTTAACTGAAATAAGCATTGTAGTTAATGAAATAGAAAATGTTATGGACTAGAGCTGTTTACAGACCACATTTTGAGTGGCCCTGGATTGAAATTTGTAAATTTCTTTTTCTATGATATGTACTGAGAAGAATCATACTGGGAAGAGTATTAGAGACAGTTTACTCTCTAAGTAAAGGTTCTCCAAGTCATTCGTTCTTGATGTTACTGAAATAAGGATAAATCTGGAATTTTCCAATGTTTTGTCTTTGCTATTATAAATTCTTAGATGGAGTTCAAAACCCAGCCTCAATGCAACAGTAGCAACCATTTAGCTGTATTAGGACCTGCAAATTTTGGGAGATAAAATCTAAATAAAAGAAGGCACTAGTATTAATCTCAAACTTATTTTATGACCATAATCTATAAAGTGTTATTTATAACATTTCATTTGGTATTTTAAAATTCCCTACTGAAAGAAGAAATAGAAATCAAATGAGTAAAGCATTTTGCCACCATACGTGGTACATTAGTTATAATAAAAGCTATTTATTAAACACTAAGACTGAAGAGGATTTTATGCTTCACCAAGTCAACTCAGTAAAATTGGGAAAGGAGGTAACACATTTGTCTTGTAATACTTAGAGAACTTTTAAAGATACTGTTCTGAAAGTAGTTAACTCAGGTCCTTTAAAACTCAGGGTTTTTACGGTAGCTTCATGTTAAACACAGTTACTGGATTTCTCTAAATGTGTAGTGGTTGTTCTAAGAATTTTGGAGGGATTTTGGTAAATATCAACAGTAATTTTTAGCAACTACACACATACTAATTCTCCTAAAACCAACTGGAAATATTTTTTGCCACTAATAGATACAGAATGTGTGGTGGGATGTGCGCACAAAGACTTCCAGTCACTGTCTTTCTCCTTACTGTCCATTCCTTCCCCCATATTCATGAAAAGATTAAAAAGCAGCTTTGTAAACTACCAGATAATTTCATCCCTAGAGGATTATTTTTGTTTACTATATTAAAAACTGGTTGTCACAGGCTACAAATATTGATGTGTAGTTCATGAAAGATAATTTCCCATATTTTATTAGTTTGGACTTTTTGTATTGCAAGTTACTAACCCTAGTTTAGATAGGCTTAAGGAGATCTTGTTGACGCATATAATTCTACAGTTCAGAGCCTGACCCTGTGCTTAAGCCATGGGACCAGGATCTGATTTCTTTTTTTACCTGTAAGCTCCCTTCCTCAAAATGGGCTGTATTCCCCTGGCCTCAACCTATCTGCTAAGCGTGTAGTAAAAGAAACCGCTAACAAGACTGTTGTATATTTGAAAGCTACTAAGAGGGTAAACCTTACAAGTTGCCATCACACACAAAATTTGTAAGGATGAGAAGTAATGGATGTGAAATAACTAAACTTACTCTAATCATTTCACAATATGTACAGATATCAAATTAAACTAATACAGCTATTACATGTTAGTTATCTCAGTTAAAAATAAATTCATAAGTCAGGATAAAAAGAAATTACCTCTTTCCATGATGTTTTTCTACCCCGCCAAAGGTGAAACTGTCTGAAAATAAAAACCTCCGTGGGATCTTGTTTAGCGTAGGTCCTTAGGCTCTGGTCATTTACTAAATAAAATATCCCTAAACAATATCAAACTGGATCCAAACTATTTCATTCTGATATGCCTCTCTTTCCTGTGGGGCAAACAAAATAAGACATAATTATTCTTACGCTAGAGAGGATCTGAACCATTCATTGTTGTCTATCCCTTATTGTCAAAATATATTCCAGGTCATTGTTGAAAGGAAGGCTTGATTTACACGAAGGCCCTAATATGTTATGCCAGAAGGATTGCTATAAATATTACTCTGTTGCTAAATTATTGGTAGTAAATTGAGGTGTCTGACTTTTAAATAGCTTATTTTTTTCTTTTAGTTGGTGCCTGCAGTTTTGTTCTTTTGCTTGTGTTTGAGCCTTGACTTTTGTAGCTAAGTCAGGGACTTTCAGAGATGGCTCTATTGATAGATCAATTTTAACCTTATAGAGCTGTTTTTTGTTTTAGATGGCATTTTTTGACCTTTATAAAAGTAGTCTAGTAAAATTGAGTTCTGCTTTTTCAAAATTATTTACTTTCATTTTAGTATTGCATAAGCTTCTTTAAAGTACACCCTATAGTTTTGTTAACCAGTATATTTTTTTAGGAACTGATTGTACTCTAAAAAATCCATGGCTGCTAAAATGAAGCTGTTTTTAGTGCCTTTTTTTACATTAGTCAATGTTTGTATTATGAAATCTAATTATACTTTTTATCAAAAATAGAATCATTATGTATTATTATAAATTCATTTAAAAAGTAGTTAAAGAAGTTTACCAGATTCATTGACATTCTTAGTATACTATTCAGGTGGTGAGTAGCATAGGAAAAAAGCCAAACAATAAACAGAAATTTAGGAACTCAGTATAATTGCAACTAATGGGGGGCGGGGAGAGAAATAACAAAAACAAAAAGAAGATTGCTAAAATATTTGAAATTAACTATGTGATACTTGCTGGACTATTAAAACATTTAATTCTTGATTGTCCACATAGCAAAAGAACTAACAAACATACATGAAGTGCTTAAAATATTATATAATGTTAATAATCTCCTGTAATTTTTATCAATCCAAATACATAAGTATATTCATCTCCATTTTATGGATAAGGGGACCATTTTTCTCAGGTTAATTACTGTCAGAAACAGTTATGAGAAATTTAATTGGTGAGCTAGCAATGTAGAGAACAACACATGTAGGACTTCCACTTCAAGGTGTGAGCACATGCCAGTGTATTCTCTCCCTCCCAACCATAGAAAAGATGTTTTTACAATGAATGAATGAATATTTGGTGTGAACCATAAGAAAATTATAATTAATCCTTGAGGAACCGAAAGCAGCAGGATAGGGGTTTAGAAAGCATTTCCTAACATGAGCAAGAGGGTGATTGTTACAAAAGGTAAAAGCTGATCCAAGGCTGCTCCAGGTCCAGAAGTGGTTAGTGCCCCTGAGCAACAAATCAGTGAAGAGCTGAGTGCACTTCAGGCAGAAACAAAATAAACCCAGCGGGAAAGGTGAGACACAAGAAGGGTCATAAGCAAAAAATTAGTATGTGAATAAATCCAAACAAATATTAAAATGCAAAGCACTAAAGTTTTTTTTAAAATAAGCTAATACTACAGATTATTAAATAATCTGTTAAATAATCTATAAAATGGAAGCAGAATGATCAAAGTTCCTGGTATTCTTTGAAATCTGGAGTATGTGAAAAACATTAATAAAACTAGTGAGAAGAGAAAAGGGAAAGGAGACAGATGAAACAAGTAAAAATGAAGCTTACCAATAGCAGAGGAGGAAGAAACCCAAGGGAGAATGAAACAGACATCATGATAGAGAGGTGACAACTGAACAGCACAGCAGTCAGTAAAAAGGCCAAGCAGCCTGTTTTTATCAAAGCAAAAGTAGAGTGTAAGCACATGTCACTTTGAATTGTAAGTTCAATAAGCTTCCCTTTTCCATCCTAGAAAATCTTAACTGGCAAGTTTTTGCAATAAAAAAGGAAAAATTGAAAGGTGGTATAAAATATTCTGTAGTTAGAAGTTGCAGGCCTTTTTTTAGAGCATTAGGCTCAATTTTGCAACCATGTGGTTTCTGTCATGACTTTGCCACTGTAGCTCTAAAGCTGCCATAGACAAATGGACTGGCTGCATACCAGTAAGACTTTACTTAAAAAACAAGCATCTGGGGCATAGCTTGCTGACCCCTCTTTTAGCTCACAGCATTTCACAACTTTAACCCTCAATAGTAAAAATATATATCGTTCTGGATGCTTTTACTAGACTATGCTAGTGCATATTTGTTGAAAATTTTTATCATCAATTAATGTAGCCAAATGATATATGGAATTTTCATTGTTAATTACTAAACTGGTCTTCTTGCTTAAAACCCCAGATAACCTGAATAATAGAAGGCTTGCATTATTACATTATTTCAAAGAAAATTAATCATGAAATGCTACTCTTGAACTATATAAGTCCAAAATCCATTTATTTTTCACAGCTGCATATATAATTTGATTTCATAATCTAGTTTCCATGATTAAAGAAATCATTTTCTAAGAGAAATAATAGTAGTCCCTGTAACATTTAATACATTACCATGTTATACATTAATACTACAGGAAATGCCTATCAAAATTTCTATAATAATACTAAAATTCCTTATAAATTATGTAATGCCTTGTAATTTATATAATGGATAATAAAGGATTTTAAGTATCCTTGTTCCCTAATCCTAAGGGAAAACCATTTATAGATAACTCACTGTAGCATATTGTGGGGAAAGAAGAAACATTTAAATGTTTACTTCTTTATTGCTGTTTTAAAGATGTTAAGTTTGCTACAATTTAGAATTTAGACAGATAAGCTATATTTAGTGTGTGTTTATATTCCATCATTTTAAAACAATTTGTTTTACTCTTAAATTTTTAAAAAATGGCAACATATTAAATTATGAGAGGAAAATCCAAAAGAAACTTTGCTTTTTTGTTTTCCATTCTTGCCCAATTTCACACTTCAAAGAAAGTTTCTCCTTAGACTTTTACAACAAAAACATACATATACATATATATAAAACCATTGATTATATTTTTTCCATTTAAAATTTTTTTTTATTGATAAGATATTACATATGT